TATCGTCGCTGTTATCGCACAATGTTCCCGTGCCTCTTATTAATGTGGCTCTTCTGCCGTGTAAGACATGTCGATGACGAATGGGGACTTGGAGGAGAGATGGCTGTCGCAGAGGGTGTCGCTTGCTGTGCTTTCATTGGAGGTGATGCCGAGCGGGCGTCATACAGAATGGATGAGGTGTCGCATTCGTCATTTGCAGCTGGGCTAGCATGAAGATGGCAGGGAGCGGCCGCCAAAGGTACCTACTAGTCGGACCATCAGCGGTAGACACCTAACAGTATCCCGCATGTAAAGACGCCGCTGCCTGTTAAGAGGCTAACTGCGGCGACTTAGGGGGTCACTTATTGAGCTGCCTGCTCTTCTTGCCAGGTACCGCAATCTGCCACAGCCTCAATCGGGCCAGGCAGCCTCCTTCATTTCTATTGCTCAATTCCCATCTCGACACCTGTTCACTACGAAAGAGAAATCCTACGTTTTTTTTTCTGTTGGCCTTTACTCAAAGAACTAGTCCGCGATCCGTCAGTGCTCAGCCATGACCCGGGTCTACGTGTATACAGCGGGTCTCGTGGCCTTTGTTGCCGGTACGTCATCGAAAGTTCCAAGCTGTGGCTCCAGTGTGAAGCTTTGTCGCGATGGGATCGGTCGCCAAGCAAAATTGGCAGCGCCTTGTCGCTACGTGGCAGAAAAAAAAAAAAAAGGAAGATGAAGAAAAAAAAAAAAAAAGACTAACTCGCGCGCATAGTCACGGCCATGATTGTTGCCTCCATCACTGAGCCCCATTGGGTTTCGTACTCGGTGACAACGACCAAAGGCGAGACGCTCGAGAAGCACATCGGGCTGCACAAGAGCTGCTCCAGCCTCGACGACCCCCACTGCCGCGATTTCCCGTCCAAGGAGCTGTGTCAGTATGGCGAGCGGTATTTCTGCTCCATGTGGCGGACGGTGGGCTTCATGGGCTCGTTTGTCATTGTTCTGTGCCTTGGTACTCTGGTATCCCTTGTGCTGGTCATGAGTGGCGGAAAGTACAGGCGCGAGACGGGGTGGCCGTTTGTCGCCGCTCTGCTGACATTTGTCTCCGTTGTCGAATTCATCATTATTTCCATTGTGGTGCGTAAAGATATGGTTGTACTGCTGTGGTAGGCCTTGGACTGACGTTTCACATCACAGGCATACTTGTACGACCATGACGACCAGTTTGCCGTTCCGGGATGGAACCTGGATGCTTCGTGGTATCTTGGCACGGTTAGCGCTGCGCTCTCTTTGATCACTGCCGGTGGCCTAGCCGCATCTGCCTATTTACTTCCACCAGAAGAAGGCTACGAGTTTCTCAACGACCCTGTTCATGCTTGAGTTTGAGTCGTCTTTGCGCTCTTTACGACTTTGTTTACACAGTTTGGTTCATTTTCATCGGGCGGCACTGGATTCTTGATTTCAACTTTTAAAATTCTTCTTCTTCGTTATTGGAAACTGGATGTTTGGTGTATAGCTTGGCGCTTGGGAGTTATTAAACACGGTGGGCTGAAATGAATTGAGAACCTGACGCTGTGGCGTTATTCAAACGCAAGATTACTGTGCTTCAAGCACAGCCGCGATATAATAATACAAGACATATTTGTGATAACTCGTGATACTTGGACACTCTCCTAAATCCCTGCACTGCTGCTGCATTTGTATCCTCATCCAAGGCCGTCGGCGGAGTCCGACTCTCGGAGTGAGCCCCGGATGATACGACGCGGCTTCCGGCGGGGTTGATGGAAAACATGGAGCAAAGATCAATATCACCCCACTTAGACACTTACACGCACACTCATTATCAAAAGTTCGCCGACGGCCGCAAGACGCTTGTAATTCCCCTGGACCTTTTGTTTTGTGTGCCTTTCTTCCCTTTCTTTCTTCAATATCGCCTCAAATCGATCTGTAAATCTACCCCCATTTGCCATATCTTCACCATGGCTGAACCAACTCCCGGGCTCACTCCTGAGCAGCTCTCGGCCTTCCAGAGAGATGGCTATCTCATCATCCGCAACGCCCTCAAACCAGATACCGTCTCGTCGCTCCTCAGCGAGACCAAGAGCCTGCTCGAGGGCTTCTCTCTCAAGGACCACCCGCTGACCCGCTTCTCCACGGGCGAGAAGTCGGACCACGTGGGCGACGACTACTTCCTCTCGTCGGGCGACAAGATCCGCTTCTTCTTCGAGGAGGACGCCTTTGACGACGCGGGCAACCTGACCAAGCCCAAGGAGCGCGCCGTCAACAAGATCGGGCACGGGCTGCATGTGCTCTCGCCGCCGTTTGCGCGGCTCATTGATGCGGCACAGACGAGGGCCGCGGGCGAGGTCAGTCCCGCGGCAGTGGCACGCGACCTCGGCTTCAAGGATGCGCGGTGCCTGCAGAGCATGGTGATTTGCAAGCAGCCCGAGATTGGGGGCGCGGTGCCGCCGCACCAGGACTCGACCTTTTTGTACACGAGCGCGCCGTCGGCCGTGGGCTTCTGGTATGCGCTGGAGGACGCGACGCTGGAGAACGGGTGCTTGAGCTTCCTGCCGGGGTCGCATCGCTGGGCGCCCGTGGAGAAGAGGCTGGTGCGCAAGGCGGGCGGCACGGGCACGGAGATTGTGGACAATGACGGGCTCAAGTTTCCTCCTGGGGATGAGTATGGCGGCGAGCAGCAGGGCGGGGAGTATGTGCCTGGCGAGGTCAAGGCGGGTGATTTGGTCTTGATTCACGGCAACATGCTGCACAAGAGCGAGAGGAACACGAGTCAAAAGGGCCGCATTATTTACACGTTTCACATCATTGAGGGCGAGGGGAGGACATATGATGAGAAGAACTGGCTGCAGCCGTCAAAGGAGGGTTTCACCAAGTTGGTTGCCTAGAGTCAGTTTGGGAAAATAAAAGGGGCTATCAACTTATGCTTCCCTTTTTTTTGTGTGTGATTTCATGTGCTCATCATGTCTTGAGGCAGTCTATCCGTCGCTCACGCTCTCTAATGATACATTTAGGCGTACACAGAACAAAAAAGGGGGAAGAAAGCTGAAGAAACCGCCATCACCCCTTTGAAGAAGAAGAAATAGGAAAAGAAAAAACAACCCGTTTAAACTTGAGTCAGCCCCATCCCAGGTATCATATAATCTCCCCTATGTGGCGTAGCCACATGCAAACAGCTTACACATAATAGCCCATTTGATGATGATGAAGAAAAAAATATTTGACATCGTACACGATATAAAAAAGAACTTTTGCCCATATCCCCAGTCGCCATGTTTTATGAGAGAAAGATGAAGAAGAAGCGCCGTTACATCTATTACTCTTCGTCTGAACTTTCGTCGTCTGAATCAGAATCTTCCTCCGACTCGGAAGATGAGGATGAGGATGACGAAGACGAGCTGCTGGAGGACTCATTGCCGCGATCAACTTCCATGTCGCCATCGTCCTCTTCGTCAGAGTCGTCTGAGGAACTGCTGCTGCTTGTATCCGAGTCACTCTCAGACTCAGAGGAGCTGCTGTCATCCACATTGGTACGCAGTTTTCTCCGCCGCTTGCTCATTCCATCGCTCGGCTTCACCTTGTTGTCGCCCTCGGTAGTCTTGGTGGAGTTGCTCTCGGCAATGCTCAGTGTTTCAGAAGAAACTGTCGTCGTGGTTGTACTGCTGGCATCGGTCTCCTCGCCTTCAGATAATTGGTCCAGCACCATTTCCGCGCGCATGCGCTTAATCACACGTCTGATGACATCATCAACGTCTTGCGACGATGTTCGGTATTCCTGCTCATCAAAGCTTTTTCTCTTCTGCCCGGCCTGTGAATGCAGCAATTGTGCAAGCAGCTGGTCGTACTTGATCTGCTTCTCCACAAGGTTGACTGAACCTTGTGGGAAGCCTGCGGCCCCTTCTGTGCTATCCTTTGTCCGTAATTCCATGGCAGTTTCTTGTAGTCTCGTGCGAACAAAGCCCTTGAGGTCTCGGATATATGCGTAAAAGGTATCAATGTTGGCGGAAGGAAAGAGAATAGGATCGAAGGCGAACTTGATGAGGGTCGATTGGTGATTCTTGTTAAACTTCCAGGAGTCTCGAGCAGAATTCCACAGACTCAAGTACTCAAGCGCAGGCTTGATATCCGCAGGGAGAGCAGAATTGGTAGCAGCAGCTTGCTTCTTCCCGGGGACCTTGGCCTTCTTGGGTTGTGGTTTGTCGGCAGGTTTCTTGGCGTCGTTGCCGCTCTTGGTGGGCGTCTCACCAAACGTGACAGACTTCTTCTTTTTCAGCAGAGGGCTAGAAACCGCAGGCTGCGATTCGTTCCGTGATTTTTTCAATGCCGACAGAGGTTCGCCCGCTGGCGGGGCTTCGGGCTTCCGCTTGGACGGCATCGACTGGGTTTGCTGGGTCCTGCTACTGCTTGGATGCCCAACCTGCAGGGTTTCATTTGCTGCTTCGGGTGCGGAAGACTGCTTGAGCTTCAGGCCCAATCTTTTCCAGGCCGGCGCACGAGCCGTCGATCCGTCGCCTGAGGGAACCATGTTGGGTGGTATGTGTGAAAGAAAATCTTTCTGTCGTGGTCAAAGGCTGAAGAGATGGCCTTTGAGTCGCAAAAGATCGTCAATTGGGCTCCAGTCGCGTGTGGGAGCCAAGCTCTTTGTCCTGGGACAACTCGGCAGCAGGCGGCTGTCAGCGGTTGAAATCGAAAATGGAGGCGATTCCGGTGCGAAACAAGCCAATGCAGGTCCCCAATGGCTTGCTGCAATCGTAAATCAGGAACTAATCGATATCCTGGAGAAGTTGTTCGCGCGCATTTGATCTCTTATTTGATTTCTGCTTGCTCGATAAGATGCCCCGCCGGTTTTTTTTTCTGGCTCCACAGTGCATATCGGTCACCGCGTCGAGAGTGGGGTGCCTCTTGCTGGGCGCCTCAGGCTCCAAGATTACATAAGGCGACGACCTCAGCCTTCCCAGACAAGCTCCCACTGCTCTAGGCAAGCTGTGCTAACGCGTACGGCCTGTAGAGCTACTGGCCCATATCGACGACATCTTGACTTTTGCGATTCCCTCGCTTTGATTTTGATCCAAGGTGCTTTCCAACAGCTGCTGCGAATACATCTCCTCGACATTGCCCTAGATAGGGCCAACATACCGTCACCATGTCTGGTTAGTTTGGGTACATGGCAGCTCTCCCCGCCAAACATCATACTAACTTGCAACACCCTCATAGCCAGCGCATACGACCGACACATCACCATCTTTGCCGACAATGGTCGTCTGTACCAAGTCGGTAAGTTGAAATTTCCGAGTAGCAAGGCCGATCCGAACGCAGGGCTCGATCTGCATCGTTCACACCTAGACATCTAGCCTGAGCCAACCCGGCTGACATCTCCAACACAGAATATGCCTTCAAGGCAATCACAGCCGCAAACATCATGTCCGTAGGCCTGCGAGGCAAGGACTGCGCCGTTGTCTTGTCACAGAAGAAGGTTCCCGTACGTACTTTGGCCACGGAATGCAACATGGCAGCGAACTGATGTTGAGAGCGCAGGATAAACTGATCGACCCCTCATCTGTCTCCCACATCTTCCAAATCTCGCCCTCTGTGGGATGTGTCATCACAGGCTCTATTGCGGACGCCAGAGCATTTTCCCAGCGTGCTCAATCAGAAGCTGCAGAGTTCCGATACAAATATGGTTATGAGATGCCAGCCGATGTCCTGGCCAAGCGACTGGCCAACATCAGCCAAGTGTATACCCAGCGTGTAAGGACAACCCCTGCTATCGGGTGAACCTTTGGAACTACGTCACTGATGCTTCTACTAGGCTTACATGCGACCCTACGGTGTTGCCACCACAATCATCAGCCTAGACGAAGAGCGGGGGCCCCAGCTGTTCAAGTGCGACCCGGCCGGATATTTTATCGGTTACAAGGGCACTGCCGCCGGACCCAAACAACAGGAGGCTATGAACCACCTGGAGAAGAAGCTGCGAAACAAGGAGCATGCTGAGGGATCCTGGGAAGAGGTTGTCGAGCTGGCCATCACAACTCTGAGCACAGTTCTCAGCATGGACTTCAAGAAGGGAGAGATTGAGATTGGCATTGTCGGCGGCCCTCGGGCGGATGGCAAAGAGGGCACAGAGCCAGGCTTTAGAAAGCTCACCGAGGATGAGATTGAGGAGAGATTACAAGCCATTGCTGAGAAGGATTAGTAAATCGTATAGATGGGTTAATGAAGCAACGTTAGAGACGTCAATTTCTGCCGAAACAAATGACTGTAATCACAGAGCCTAGCCTCCAAGACTGCATTAGCATTCGGTCCTATTCAATAAGGACAATTGGAAAGTCGATGCCTTCCAAGTGCTAATCACCAGTGACATTTTCCTGGTTTTTAAAAGGGTGCCTAGAGTATCCTGTAAAAAACAAGGTGCGATGATCTCATTTCTGTAGAGAAAAAAGGTTGCCTAGACAAGCGGTAGGATTATTCGAGGCAGCCCTAATACTGATCACCTAACACATACGAGTAATGGAGGCACTTCGTACTCCGTATTCATACTGAACACATGTGATAAGGGATGGCCACTCGTACTCGTAGCCGAGAGACACAGTAGCATTGAATAGGACAGACTCGTACAGTACGGTGAGAATCCAGGCAACCGGGTAAAGGAGAAGCCAAGGTTAATCGTACCCTTAGCTCATGTGACAGGCACTCATAATCCACACGCTGACTCTTAGACTGTCCGGGGAACTGTGATAGTGAGCACTGCGGCTCTGTTGCTCTGTATTTCGGGATTCAATAACCCGCCCAAGGCTATTGAAGGTGGCAATTTCGTGGTAGCTTATGCTGGCGCTGATGCCCAGGGAGGCACAAACGGGAAGATGAGGCGGTAATTGGGATGGATTTGATATGGGCCCCCGCTGGTGGAGGCTAGGAGCAAGGGCTTCTCGAACAGGGCGGCAGGGGGGCTGCGGAAGACGCATCTTTTATTACCCAAGTCAGGCGCTATTCAGTGTTTAATAAAGCAGATCTGCATTTGATTGGGCGTTTGGTGGCATTGTGATTATCAAGCGACCACTAGGCAGTAATTGGGCTCGAAGCTGTCAAGCTACCGGTAAGTTGGTGCCTTGGTATGAGACGTTGATACACCATTAGTAAGAGGCATGTGCATGCATCTTGGGCGAGCCAAATCACATCCGAAGAAATTGGGCGGTTTAGAAAGAAGAACAGAGAGAAGACACAGAGTTTGCAATAGTAGCAGAGCAGTATAAGGCATCCTAGACAATCGGCACTCCCCAGAGCAAAGAAAAATTGCCCCTGATGAGGAACCCCTAAACCAGGTAGGACAGTTAGCACAGAATTTCCCCTTGGAAATTGTGCTGCGGTTGAGCTGGAGACAAGGTCATTTTGGCAGCTCCCAATTAGGACTAGCGCCACCTGCCCTCGACAACTATAGCGCTAGACCGGATCATCCCGTCGCCGACTACACCCGAAGCGGTACTAATTTTCTGTTTATTTTTCTATGTTGATTTTGCGACTGCCTGCCGCGCCGACTGGCCTCGACTGGCCTTTTTTTTTTATTACCCAACTCCTCCCTCTCTTCCTCTCCTACAACTCCCACCTCTTGCATCTCTTCGCATCTGAAGCTGCAGCAACTCGATTCTCCTATCTCCTTTTAATACCAACTTTTTCTTTAACTTCATCACTCAGCCTTCAAAATGCGTGAGATTGTGAGTTTGTTTTGGCATTCCCCCCCACCTTGCGAGCTGGCGTTGGGAGCTTTCTCACGCGCCCACCCGTCCTCAATGGGCACCCGAGCTCCAAATCTGGTGACCTAAATTGAGAACCAGAATGCACACATCTATGAGATAAAGAATAACAGCTGACATGTGCTCTTTCCATCGCTACAGGTTCACCTCCAGACCGGTCAGTGTGTAAGTTGCTTATCCCTCTGCCCCTCCTTGGGCGCTGCCCCCCCGCACAAAAACGCGACCATCGTGATGCTGACAATTTTCTCAGGGTAACCAAGTTGGTTCTGCCTTCTGGTACGTTCCCCTCTAAAGAGCAGCGATGAAAAGCTCCAATCGACGCGTTTTCGACGAATCGAATACTCATAATCATTATAGGCAGACCATCTCTGGCGAGCACGGCCTTGACGCCAGCGGTGTTTACGGTGGTACTTCCGACCAGCAGCTCGAGCGTCTGAACGTCTACTTCAACGAGGTGTGTAGATTTACCAGCACCCGGCGGATTCAAATTTGACATTGAATTATGGGTCTAACGCTACTTCCATTAGGCTTCTGGCAACAAATATGTCCCCCGTGCTGTTCTCGTCGATCTCGAGCCCGGTACCATGGACGCCGTTCGCTCTGGCCCCTTTGGCCAGCTGTTCCGCCCCGACAACTTCGTTTTCGGCCAGTCCGGTGCTGGTAACAACTGGGCAAAGGGTCACTACACCGAGGGTGCTGAGCTGGTTGACAACGTTCTCGATGTCGTCCGTCGCGAGGCTGAGAACTGTGAATGCCTTCAGGGCTTCCAGATTACCCACTCCCTGGGTGGTGGTACCGGTTCCGGTATGGGTACCCTGCTGATCTCCAAGATCCGTGAGGAGTTCCCCGACCGCATGATGGCCACATTTTCCGTCGTTCCCTCTCCTAAGGTCTCGGATACCGTTGTCGAGCCTTATAACGCCACCCTGTCTATGCACCAGCTGGTTGAGAACTCGGACGAGACCTTCTGTATCGATAACGAGGCCTTGTATGATATCTGCATGAGGACCCTGAAGCTGTCCAACCCTTCATACGGCGACCTGAACCACCTGGTTTCTGCTGTTATGTCCGGTGTCTCTACCTCTCTCCGATTCCCTGGCCAGCTCAACTCCGACCTTCGTAAGCTCGCCGTCAACATGGTGCCGTTCCCTCGTCTGCACTTCTTCATGGTGGGCTTTGCGCCTCTTACCAGCCCTGGCGCACACTCTTTCCGCGCTGTTTCCGTTCCTGAGTTGACCCAGCAGATGCTGGATCCTAAGAACATGATGGCTGCCTCTGATTTCCGCAATGGCCGCTACCTGACCTGCTCCACCATCTTCCGTGGAAAGGTTGCCATGAAGGAGGTTGAGGACCAGATGCGCAGCATCCAGAACAAGAACTCCACCTACTTCGTTGAGTGGATTCCCAACAACATTCAGACCGCCCTCTGCTCTATCCCCCCCAAGGGCCTCAAGATCTCCTCTACCTTTGTCGGTAACTCTACCGCCATCCAGGAGATTTTCCGCCGTGTTGGTGAGCAGTTCACTGCCATGTTCCGACGCAAGGCTTTCTTGCATTGGTACACTAGCGAGGGTATGGACGAGATGGAGTTCACTGAGGCTGAGTCCAACATGAACGATCTCGTCTCCGAGTACCAGCAGTACCAAGATGCTACCGCCGATGACGGTGATGAGTATGAGGAGGAGGCTCCCGCTGACGAGGAGTAAATGTCACCGACCCGCTGGCATTGCTCTCAGCCGCTGATGGTTGGAATAAAAAATTCTTTGTTTTCACCGGGGTTAATTGTTAGATGCAAGCCCCTTCTTTTGTGAATAAACTATACTATTTTAAATAGGCTCTTCAATAATACTCGTGGGCCCAAATGTTGTATTTCCAGTCTTGAGTAGGAGTGATTGGCATATTTTCAAAGCTTGTGTATCTCTTAGACGTGGCTAACTATTATCGACTTGGTTCATGGCGATGGGATGGCGGGTGTAGCAGCAATGTTCCTCGGCGTGGCCAATGTAACCTCATAAAGGAATTTCATGTTTTGCAGCTGACGAGAGGACGATTATATTGTTTGATGTGAGGACGGCATCCTCTTGGCTGTTTGTAGCGAGCAGTTTAGATAATGCCTTCACAGCGTTGATGCTTACAAGGTACGTACATGCTATGATGTGTTAGCTTGGTTGGTGTGTACTTGTTTATAAGATGAGGGACGACTTCAAGTCAAAATTAGGCATCGTAGGTCCATTTTTGCAAGACATTATATTGCATAGAGATGGAGTGTATGGAAATGGAGAGTATAAAAATAAAGAGTATAAAAATAGAGAGTATAGGAATAAAGAGTATAAAAATGGAGAGTATAGAAATAGAAAGTATGTAGACTAGTAGCTATTTTGAGAAATAACTCTTATACTAACAGTTTCAAACCGATTACCCGAGGCAAAATTTCCGTCTAATTTTCACAGTGGAATGTTTTGTTAAACATGTCAATCTCCAAATAAGATTGGTAGCAGTTGTATGCAGAGGGAATATAAAAACAGAGGTTTCTCTAAATCTTGGCGTTAGGCTTGATGCTATTGTAAACGGGCCGTCGGACGGAAATGTTGCGGTTTATATCGTGTAATGGCACGTATTCATGTACTGAAATGACGGGACGTTACACCCAGAACGTTCTAAAGGTAAACACCAGATATTGTACACTATAGGTCAGCGGTAGCCACCCATCCAAAGGCAGCTGTGCTTGCGGGCGCAATCACCTGAGTGGGTTTTGCCAACGGGGGGCCCGTGATTGCACGAGATCCGAGCTATTCTAGGAAGAAAAACAGGGCAATCGCCTTGTGATTGTCCCCATCTCGGCAGGTGATGGATGCTTTGAGGATGTCATTGGCTAGGGACAGGCATTGCTGTCACGGTGGCGTTCATATGAGGGTGTGCCGCCTGGTTGACAGCTCGGTTGAGGTAGGGCGAGCTTTTCTAGGCAAAGGCGGTTGCTGTCAAGCAAAATCTATCCCTTAAAGGGGGTTCTGTATTGTTAATGTAATTAGTAGACCAAAGGGGGAGGGTGGCGGACGAATTCACACCCCCGAGTTCATGTTTCTGCTTAGCGTAACGGTCTTCGCCTTAATTTGATGCCACGGCTCGGAGGGAAATGTTGCTAGAGGACAAGAGGCGTCAAGATGGCCAAGATTGGCGATGTGCTAGGACAGAAACGATTAATAATCTCCATAGCTTGATATCTGATGCTGTCATAAAGTTAGATGTAGGCAACGACTCTTTGGTTGAGTCTGATATGTTGAGGGCAACGTTGCAGTGTTTGTCTCTCTTCTTCCCCATCCTCTTTGCTATCCCCCTGGATTTGCTGATTACAATCAATGTATTAGCTGGATTATGAGTCAATGTCTTTTCTGAATAGCAGTCATGCCGTTGTCTTTGTTAAGCTTTGTTGATGATAGCTGAATGATCCATCCTGACACGCGTACGGACATGGCCTCATTACGAAGCCGTAAGCAAACA